TCATTGAAACTATGCATGCGTATCTGTGTGCAGACTTTTGTGTATTCATCTAATTTTAGGTAGATGGATACTCGTGGTTCCTTATAACTTTTTTCAGACATCCTTACTTTACTTTGCCTACCCCTTTCCTTCTGTGTTCATCTAATTAAATTTCACCAGTTTCTCTAATTAAAGTCCCCTCTTATTTTCTGTATTCTCCTTCAAATCGCCCGTAGCTTGTTATTCCCCAGCATTGCCTCCAATCCACCTGGCTGTGGTCCTTTTGCTTCCCGTGTTTCTGCAGTTAACAGCTCTGGTGGTTGGGTTGAACATAGAAACTCATCCATGTTCTTTAGGCGTCCCGGCTTAATGGGTTATACGGCTTTATGGGTGTCCCCCTATATACGCTGAATCTCTTTGATGTCTGTTACAGTATTTCCCTGTTAGTTTCTAATTCTGTCAGTTTGGATCCTCTCTTTTGGTTAATTGGGTCAAGGATCGGTCAATCTTGGTTTCTCAAAGAACCATGTCTAGATTAGTTGATGGTTTATTATCTTTTTTCTTTCTTTCTTTCTTTTTTTTTTTTTTGTTTTTACGAGACAGGGTTTCTCTGTATTATTTCGGAGGCTATCGGTCCAGCCTGGCCTCGAACTCACAGAGATCTGCCTGCCTCTGCCTCCCGAGTGCTGGGATTAAAGGCATGCGCCACCACCGCCCGGCGGTTTATTATCTTTTCTTGTTTGCTTTCTTTGCTTAACTAATTTTGGTTCTGAATATTATTATAATATTTTGCCTTCTAGTGGGTTTTGTTTTTTCAAAGCTTTGAGTTGCATCATTAACAGCTACATTCCATGGCACTCGTGAGCGTAGTGTAAGCAATATTTGTACTTGTTCGTTTGCTTCCCCTCCTCCATTCTTTAAAATTCACAACATAATTCACACCAATTCTTTTACTCACTAGCTCCTTGCACAGTGTCGGCCATATACTAATCATCTAGTGAGCGTTGTCTGTATCCATGAAAGTAACGAATTAGTTTTAATAGTTATTTTCCCATCTCTACACAAATTGGAATTTTCTGGTCTGAATTAATTTTTATGGTAAATTACAGCTTCCTCAAGTTTGTCTATGAATAGTGAATACACTGTCATGATTTTCGTAGAGTCAGTATTGTGCTGACACGCGACTTTTAGAAAATGCTACTATTTGTAATGTTTTCCAGTTTCTGTAGTCTAAATGTGCCTGCGATTTCAAGCTAATCCACACTACTTCATGGAATGAAGTCCCATGGGGAGTTGGGAGTTCTCGTGACTTGCTTAATGGTACTGAACCTGTGTAGTACCCCGGTTAAAGATTTCTCTAGTAATACGTTTTCAAAAGAACACATACTTTAAAAAGATTGGAAATTCTTTAAGGCCATGCTATCAACTGAAACCATGTATTGAAAACAAGTCTTTGTGGCGCAGTGAAGATGCAGCCATTCTGTTTGAAGTCCACACTGGCGTGGTGCTCAGCTAACTGTCCTTACGTTTCCATTCAGGTTCCCAGATTTGCTCTTATTATTATTTTTGCTCTTATTATTATTTTTGCTCTTATTATTATTTTTGCTCTTATTATTATTTTTGCTCTTATTATTATTATTTTTGAGGTCCGTGACCTTCAAGCCCCACCCCAGTTTTAGGAGCTTGAATCATAGCACTTACAGATTATATAATAAATTCACTGAGTTCCAGCTTCCCAGACTTTGTTCCTTAAAAGAACTAACGATGTGTTGGACTTTATAGCTAATCTGTTGAGGGGGCTGATAAACCATCTAGCTTAAAAAGTCTCTCTTGTAGTTTTGGTTGAGTCTAGTCTTCAGCATCTGAATCATCTCTCCAGTCCCCTCCCTCCCTCCGTCCCTTTGACAATTGTATATTTGTATACAGTGTCTTGTGATTGTATTTGTTCAACTATCCTTTCTCACCCCTTCCTGATCCCACCATTCCCTTGCTTACATCCAGTCCCCCTTTTCCTCTTCCTCTCTCCACTGTGCCTACACCCTTCCTTGAAAAGGATCTCATGCAGTCCAGGACGGGCTCAAACTCCCTAGGTAGGAAGGCTCGCCTCGACTTTCTGACCTGCCTTCCCCCATCTCCCAAGAGCTGGGATTCTAGTGATGAATCGTCCCTCGACTTTAGGTTGTTTCTTAGTGTAAGTTGCTTCTGGAGTCTTTTGCATTAAGGACACTTTCTGTCTGTGTCCACTAAACCGCACTGTGACTCTTTTGCTGTGTTTCTTTCAAGCTGTCATCTAGAATATCTATTAGTTATGGGTCTTCTTTACAGAGGCAAATGACAGTGGCTGGACAACTGTCTTGAGAATTCATTTGCTCTATTGCTAATCATCAAGGAAAACCGTTATTCCCTCATGTCTTGAGTGTGACTTATTCCAAAGACAGTTAAACTCTAGAGTCCTCTAACTGATTAAAACAGAGAGGTTGAGATGCAGGTTTTATTTTCTGGGCTTCAGAATTTATCTCAGGAAAAGAGCATCTGCCTAGCAAGTGTCCTTGGTTTGCTTCACAGTGACAGTTTTTCATTTATTTTCAAAGTACCGTCCACTCAATAGAGGTCTGCAAGCATCTACATTTCTCACAAGTCACCTTACAACTGCTCACATTTTGGTTATCATTTGGACATAGTTTTACTTTTAAAACTACTGATTGATGCACTTCAATATATTTTTATTTAATGTCTATTCAGATCCATCATAGAAAATGAAATTTGAACCACGGAGCTTGTTAAAAATAGAGTGAGACAACAGTGCTTTTTAAAAAAGTACTTATTAATTACAAAACAAAATTGACACATATATTTGACATTATTGATGAGTAACTAACTAATTTAGGAATTTAATTGATGAAATGTAAATCTTGATTTTATAATATTAAATACCTTATTATATTTCCTTTAGGATTACAAGTGACTTCAAGCTAGGCCTTTAGATCTTAGTAGTCTATGATTTATATGGTCTTACTATGCTAATAGAAAGTAGAGTCTTTGCTTCCAATAAAGCAAATTTAATAGTGAATGAAGGAATGTATACCCAACCCAATGAAAGAACTTGATCATCATAAACAGTTATAATGCTGTGTGATACAATCTATACAAATAATACGACTGGTTTAATGGAACATTAAGCAAAACATTTAAATGGTATTTTACAAATCTTGCTTATTTCAGTGAAAAACACCAGGTTGGAAGCAGTGTTGGGTAATTGTCTATCTCCCAAGCTTATTTCTGCCCTGTTGTTGATTCCCAGGTAGAAAGGCTTTCTGTGATTGTATTGTTGTAAGTTGTTTACATATGAAAAAAAATCCCCAAATGTGGAGTCTGTGTGAGAGTCAGGGTGAGCTATGATCTGTACTCATTTGAAATATGTGATTGTCTTGCATTTTGCAATCTTCCTTCCTTCCTTCCTTCCTTCCTTCCTTCCTTCCTTCCTTCCTTTCTCTCTTTCTTTCTTCTTTCTTTTCCCAATTAATCAAAAAAGACTTTGAGTCGAGGAAGAGGGTTTTCTGGTCACACAGCAATAATGTCCTTAGACTGCTGGATCTGAGAAAATATTTCACTTAGAAAGCAAGCACGTGATAGGTGGTGCCCTGCCTGGGCAGAGGAGGAAAGCGCCATTGCTGCCTAACGGGCGCAGAGTTGACGCTTGTAAGAAGTTTCCAAATTCTATTTAGGAATAATTTGAATATAGTTAATGTCACGGAAGTATCACTTAAAAGTAGTCAGTTTGGTTCACTTTGTTTTCAAAACCACAATATAAATCAAGTATATCTTTTATTTTTGTGGAAATACTTTTTATTGAGGCACATTTGCGTATTAGGTACTTTTACTCTATTTTCTCCCCTCCATTCTGTCTGTCTGTCTGTATCTGTCCATCCATCCATCCATCCGTCTGTCTGTCTGTCTGTCTGTCTGTCTGTCTGTCTGTCTGTCTGTGTCCATCCGTCCGTCCATCCGTCCACCCTATCTTCTTTCCCTCCCTCCCTCCCTTCTGCTTTTTCACGCCCCTCCCACCATGTTAGCATCTGTTTCTCCCCTCTCCTGCTCCTGTTTCTACCGGAGACCCGGTCGGTCACTAAATCCAGAGTCAGCACAGGGGAGAGCGCTCGCAGTGTTTTCCTTCTGGATCCGGCTAACCCCACAGCACAGAAGTCGACTGTGTTTGTTTTCCTGCACCCATCAAGGCCGTTACCCTCTAGTGGTGACTAACATGCGGCTGTGTATGTGTCCCGCAGCTTCCTTGTCTGTTCATCTCTTGATGGACACCGAGGTCGGATCTATCACTTGACTGTTTTGAATAGTACAAAAGTACATACAGATGTGAAAATAAAGCAGTCAGACATATCATTACAGATCATGATGAGTGAATAGGATTTATTGAAACTAGTAGTGTTCTTAGCTTTGTATTAGTCATTAGTAGCCACTTAAAAGAAATAAACCTCTTTAAATAAGTGGTGGACTATTACCCTTATATTAACAGTTAATATAAGGAAATCTAGTATATAACATGCATTTTATGAATTATTTTTATTTTATAAAACAATATAAGGAATACTATCATTTTATTTTTATCCTTTGTTTATTAAGGAAACCAAGTTCTATAGTTATGGAGGTCAGTACCTTGCTAAAGATTTTGGTTTCCTATTTTGAAGATGATATTTAAAATCGACTAACTCCAAAATTCATTTTATGTTTACATTATGCTTCTAAATAAACAAAAATAACTACAGAATGAAAACAAACAACTATCATTTTGATATGGGTTTTTCTGTCAATGTAATCTTATTATAATCATGCTTATAAAATTAAAACAAAGGATGAATTATTTAATTTGTAGTAGCATTTAGCCTTGATTTCATTTTAACTTCAGAAGTATAACCAGGTCATTTTTTTGTTGGCTTGAATTCTCCTTTTGTTTGTCTTTCATTCTGAGGGAGCCTTATTTCTTTTTCCCGTGTTATTATGTGCAGGTGATGTGGGTGTGTAATTTGTGCCGAAAACAACAAGAAATCCTCACTAAGTCAGGAGCCTGGTTTTACAACAGTGGATCTAATACGCCACAGCAGCCTGGTCCCAAGGCTCCTCGAGGGCTTCGGAACGAGGAGGCCCCGCAGGAGAAGAAAGCAAAACTTCACGAGCAGAGCCAGTTCCAAGGACCCTCAGGTGACTTACCTGTCCCTTCAGTGGAGAAAGCTCGGCCCCACGGGCTCACGAGACAGGAATCCATTAAGAATGGTTCCGGAATGAAGCACCAGACTGCCGGTGACATACCTCCAGACAGGTAAACGTTCTGTGTAATTGTAGGTAAAATCGTAGTTTGTTTCTATGGGAGTATGCATGGTGTGTCATGGTACACATATGTATGTGTAGGAGTGTGTCATGGTATACATGGCTGTCTGTGTAGGAGTGTGCATGGTGCACATGTCTGTGTAGGAGTGTGCATGGTGTGTCATGGTACACATGTCTATTTGTGTAGGAGTGTGTCATAGTACACATGTCTGTCTGTGTAGGAGTGTGTCATGGTACACATGTCTGTCTGTGTAGGAGTGTGTCATGGTACACATGTCTGTCTGTGTAGGAGGGTGTCATGGTGCACATGTCTGTCTGTGTAGGAGTGTGTCATGGTACACATGTCTGTCTGTATAGGAGTGTGTTATGGTACACATGTCTGTCTGTATAGGAGTGTGTCATGGTACACATGTCTGTCTGTATAGGAGTGTGTCATGGTACACATGTGAAGCTCAGAGGAGCACAGCTTTGTGGAGTTGGTTCTCGCCGCCATTGACCTTCTTGTGGGTCTGGAGATTGAACACTGGTCGTTATGCGTGTGTGGCGTGTGCCCGCTGGGTCATCTCATCCAAATGTAGTGTCCATGATGTTCATTCCAAGCAAAAATAAACATGTAGGAAAATTTTAAGCAACAGCGAGTTACCTACATTTTATGTTCCTGGGTTTTCTCCCTCCCTCCCTCCCTCCCTCCCTCCCTCCCTCCCTCCCTCCCTCCTTCCCTTCCTTTTATAAGTTATATATGTGATGTTCAGGATTTGAGCTATGACGTATTTAAAGTATTTTATGTTTGATATGGGCAAGATTATAAGGCAGGTTTCCAAGAATAAAGAAATGAATTTTAATAACACAGCCTTTGTTGTTGTTGAAAATTGCAGCCTTCCTCCTGGGGTTATCTGCTTCCTACCATGGTCTTTCTTGAGTAAAGGCAGAGGCTATTTCTTCCTGTTTTTAATAGGCTTTTATATATTTTCTTTGGTGAACAGTCTGTTTTTTTTTTAACTCTTTCACACTAAATTGTAACAGTGCTTTATATGTCTTTTCAGCTTATGCATTACAAGTGTTTTCTTTCAAAATTTCTTGAAATATAATTTGATGATATACAGGGTTCACCATGTAGCTCAGGCTGGCCTGGAGCTTGTTATGTAGTCAAGGCTATCCTTAGTCTCCTGTTGCAGCCTCCGGTGCTGTCATTGCCTCTGTAAGCATCTTCCCTGCCTTTTGATGAACAAAATCCTTATTTTGATGATGGCCGATTTGCTGTGGATTAGTACTTCCTAAGAAAATCACTGGTTCTGAGAAGCCATTGCCCACCCTAGAGTCAAAATGTTCTCCTCTGTTTCTCTTGGAGGCTCTGTGCCTGTAGCCTGAATCAAAGACGAGGCCTGTTCTCGAGTGTCTCCTTTTGTGGTAATGCTCATTGAACACAGTGCTCCACGCATGCAACCAACTGCTCGTCCACCGAGCTATCTGCAAACCCTTTCTGTGAGCTTCTAGAAATTCTATGCTTTCGCATTTTACAGTTATACACATGATCCATTTTTGATTTTTTTTGTGATTAAAGAAAAGCTCCCACTGTGTATTTCTTTGAGTGAATGGAAATTCAGTTGTTGCACCACCGTTGGTTACAAAGGTGACTCTTCCTTAACTGACTACCGTTGTTTTCTCTCCAGAATTAGTTGTTAGCTTTGAGTAGGCCTCCACGTGAACTTTTCTCCTCCCTCCCTGATCTGCCTTTGTGCCTGACAAACCCACATTGTTATGATCGGGAAACACTTAGTGTGTCTTCAAACAACATAGGGTTAGGCTTCTAACTGTGTTGCTTTTAAAGCTGTTATGGTCATTTGCAGTTTCTATTTCAATTTTAGGATCATGTAATGAGTAAAATATAGACTATTTCTTTCCACAATTGCGTGACACAGGAAAGTGCCTGTCATTTCTGAGTAGTAGAAATACTATAGGCAACATAGAGTTGGATTTTTATTATTTTCAGTCTTTAGTTTTTAATTGAGGAATTTACTTAATTTGGTTCCTAGCACTTTTAGTTTTTAACCCCATTCTCTCTCTCTACCTTTATTTTTTTGTTATTTATTAACTTGCTTAAATTGACATGTCAAGATGTGTTGTATCTTTAGTGTACAACTAAATTGGCACACACACACATGCACACACACACACACATATATATTCTGGGATGGGTAAATCAAGCTATTTAGCAGATGAGTTATATCACTGGTCTTATTTGCCCAGTGAGAAGATTTGAAGGCTGCTCAGCGATTTTCAGATGCACAATAACTTTTTACTAACTGTAGCTATCGTGATGTAAATAGTGCTCTTTCATTATTATCTATTAATTGTGCATATTAATGGATTTCAGTGTGGTGGATACATGTATACAAATGGCATGTATGTCTCTCTCTTTTACACTTCCCTTTTGTGGTTAAGTAACTCATCTGGAAGAGTGCTTGAGTCCCTGCGTATTATTTTCTATTTGTCAGTTGTACAGTCTTGCTTTTTTTGTCATCATAAAACTTAAAAAAAGCTTTATGGTCTTTTGATTATCACAAGCTATTTTGAAATGATACAATATGTTATGACCATAAAGACTAGAAGAGGACTAAGGAGAAATATGTTAATGAAACATTCTATACCTGTATTCTATTATTTCCCAATTTTGGTTTTTTGGTGGCCCATTAAAGATATGAATGGGCGATGCATCGTGCTTACATATTAGGGCAATTTCATTTTGTTTCTATGTTTTTTACTAGTAGCATTTTATATTTCCTATTGTTTTTCTCTTTACTCGCCAAGGACAATTTCAGGTTGAAGAACTGCCTTTAACATTTCTTGCAGAGCCTTTTCCCTTAAATCTGAGAATGCCTTTACTTTTCTATTTCTTCCTTTTTTTTTTTTTTTTTTGAGACAGTGTTTCTCTGTATTGTTTTAGAGCCTGTCCTGGAACTCGCTCAGTAGACCATGCTTGGTCTCGAACTCACAGAGATCCATCTGCCTCTGCCTCCCGAGTGCTGGGATTAAAGGCGTGCGCCACCACCACCCGGCTATTTTTCTATTTCTAAATGACAGCTTTGCTAGATAAAGTATTTCTGTTGGCAGTTTTTCTATTCAATACTATAAAGCCTTACAGCTATCCTATCCAGTAAGTTTCCTGATGAGAAGTTTTTAATCAGGTGACATGTTAATGAATTGTTTTTCCCCCTCTTTCTGTCTCTTTATGATTGAGAGCATGGTTATGATCTTGGGGTAGATGTATTTGAGTTGAATCCAGTTAATTGACCTTGGATTTTCCTGTACCTGTATACTTTTTTGGGGGGTTGGGGGGAGGTTAACTTTAAATTTTCTTTTTTTTCTTTTAAATGAACTTTTTTCCCTTTGACAATAACAAGTCTCTTTTTAACCATAATATCACAGATGTCTACCCCTTCAATGCTGTAGCAAAACGACGGCGTGTTCTTGCCTTAGGTTTCTGTTGGTGTGAAGAGACACCATGACCACAGCAGCTCTGATAAAGGGAAACGTTTAATTGGGGCTGCTCACAGTTCAGAGGTTTAGTCCCTTATTCGAGTGGTGTGTAGGCAGGGTCTTAGCTCAACCATGGGAGGTTGAGCTGGGTCTGAGGAAGAGTAAGTGTGCTTGTCATTTCCCAGCCTTGCAGAATCCCACAGACAATCAGACGCAGCAGGGAGTGTAGTCAACCAGGAACTCATTTATTACCACACAGCAAGCATCTTTTAAAGGAAAAAACCCGCAGAGCAGAGGGAACAGCTAGCCAGTGGTTTTAAAGGTCAGGCTATCACACGCCTAGGTGCCCTAGGCTTTACCTAGTGAGCATGAGCTGTTCATGCAGTGACCTCATCTGGTTTGATCTAGGCAACCAATTATCCATTTTTGAAACAACTCAGGACTCGCTGATCTGACTTCCTCTCAGCACCATCTCTGACTGGCTTGTGTGCCCTACAGAGTCTCCCCTTTTTGTTTTAGACCATGGCCCACCTCATTTCAAAGTATGGGCCTCTTGGAACCTCCACAGAGGTTCACCTCTGATGGCACCTCTTGTCAAGGTTCACCCAAAAGGGAGACATTCTCAGGGCTGAGCCTATCACAATGCATGCGAAAGGTCATTAGCTGGGTCTCTGGCGTCTGTGCTCTGATCAGTCTAACAAGCCTATTGACAAGGCAAGGCCCAAAGACACAAGTTAAGGTTATTGCTATAAAGGAACCCAGCAGGGTGGAGACTGCCTTATCCAGGAGTGTTCCCCTTTTCTCACACCTCCACTGTGCACAGCAGAAGGCGTCCACCCCACCACATTTGAATCTGGTCACTGCAGTTCAATTGCTCCCGGGCATGTGTAAAATCAGTGTCCCTTAAGGCTGCCCTGTTGGAACATGTGAGCAGCACAGGGATTGGGGGTCCGATATGTGGGGCAGGTGGCACCCCCACAACCCTCCACATTCAGACCATCCTTGATGAAGAGAAGTCCAGTGTCCCACGTCCCTATATCCTCAGGCCAAGTCCCAGAAGTTGAAGAAGAGCGTGGGCCACCAGGTCTGGGGGACTGCCTCATCTGGGGTGCTGTTGAGGACATCTCCATTGGCGGCACTGGTCACCATCCACGCCATCTTTTGGAGACGATGAGGGTTCTGCTGGGTGGTCACTGGATCAGCCAGCACCAGCGGCGGGAGCATCAGAGCGGTCAGGACATCATCTGTAACTTTTAAAGAACACAAGATCTTCTCAAGGGTCTGGCACCCTTGGACATGATTAGGTATCATTGTATTTATTCTCTTATTTCAGAAGATGAACCTTGACCATCATTATCGCTTCCTCTCCTTGCTGGTCAGCCTGTTCTTGGTCATCCTCTGTGGGAGCAGGCAGGAATTCTAGATTTCTGGCCGGAAGTCAGATGGGTGCTTCCTCCCCTATGGGGAAGACACATCCAAATCCTCTCCCCATTGTAATTAATGGGTCTGGGCTCC